TTTTATGTTCGAGAATGTATTTGAGTGCGTAAATGTTCTCAGAACATTTCAAGTCCGTTAACAATTCCTTTATTTGCGCATCTGCTGATATAGAAAAACTGCCTTGATTTACTAACACTATTACAGGGTTGCTCGGTGTTGATGCAGAAGATGTCATAGAGGGAGCACTAGGAGTGCTTGCTGTAAGGAAAGTGTCCGATGCATAGCCGGTCGTCGGGTTAGTACTCGTTGAGTGTGCCCCCGCAGAGGTAAAGGGAATTGAGCTTTCAGGTTTCTAAAAGTAACATGTAATAATTAATAAATAAGAAAGTGGAGGTTTTTGCATGTGGCATTCCTATACTCATACCTCATACGCCATAGTCACTTTCTCGCACACTATAATGCTTGAAGGTATGGTCAATCAATATATCTTCGGCAATTTCTACTACTTATTCCTATTGGCTAAAAATTCGCTTGCTACATTGCGTGGTGTGACAATATGGTGCGCCAGAGTTACACGCATTAATAAACTCTACGTTCCACCACAGCCCATTTAGCAAGCAGAAACTTAGCATAGTAAAATGTGGATTATTTGTCAATAAAATCCAAACCGTTGTAAAGGTCAACTTCCGTTAAAGCGATCCGGTCTTTTACTGTAGTTTTTGTAAGACTCAATAAGTATTATCCACATCTGATATGGTTTGTTAGCCAAATATTGATTTATTTGTCTACGTATAGGAATGCTGTTTACAAAATATTCATACGAGGGCAGAGCAATCAATATGTTCTAAAATCAGGCAACAAACGGTGAAGTGAAAAGTTCTAAATTGAAATTTGCAAATCAAAACGTCCAGCTGGCCTCTCAATATAAATTGCCAAGTCGACTGTGTCGGAAAAAATAACAACGTTACTTTGTCATTAAATCCAACAATTATACCGCAAGTTTGCACCGAGCGATGCCATTGAAATATCCAGCTGTTAAACGGGCATAGCCTCTTAGATCGACCAAGTTTGTTTATTGAAATTGTTCCGCCGATAAGTCTAATCTGAAAGACTATTTCATCAATTACTAAGGTAAATATCACGTAAAACTCTGAGTGTTTCCCATTATTCCCATTATTCCCATTGATTAGAATGTAAGTGCTACTAATTTGCCATCGCTTCGAAAGATGAAATTGTAATATACAACATGACAAAATTGAAGTTCCAGTTATCTTTTCCATTATCATGCAACAACGATATCTCTAAAAATTCGTGTTTTTCACAGATAAAGACTACCAAAAATCTAAACATACAATAGTTTTTTGACTTTATATCCTCTTTAGCACTTTGTATATTCCAACGAATATCTTAGAACTTTGATAATATTTGTTGCTCAACTCTTTTCTTAATGTACTGCATCAATTATTGCAGAAGTAAACAGTAAGTATAAACTACTATCGACGTCGTGAGATGGCGTAATAATATTCCCGTACGCAGAAATGTGCCGCTATTTATTGTTTGTTTTGATAAGAAGAATAATAATAACTTACCTGTTAACACTTAGAAGAATATCGTAGTTTCTTAATTCCAGATATTCTAGCGTTTAACTTGTTTCCTTAAAGATATCTTTGATCTAATAACAATTAAGCTTCTCATACACCGTATAAATTAATTCTATCTTTAACCTACCCAACCACAACTCCCATTTAATCCAGCCCCTGAATGCTAGTAGTATTCAAAGAATGTTGCCAGGGTTTTATCGAAAGCCATCATAACAGTGAATGTTAGTTGATCGTTTTTATTCGATTCAGTGCGTATTATATAACTTCTAGTAGCTGGTCAATACATGATACTATACATCTGCTAATATTGAATTTACAGTATAACAATATTCGCAGCTACCGAATTAATTCCATCTTCCTCTTCCTTTGATCATTCAAAGTCTCTGATTGTTATTAGTATGCTGTCATAACACTTAACTTACAGTACTTATTGTCTTACTATATTTACTGCTCGGATTTTTATTTTGCCCGTCTAGAGATGTGATTTGACACCAATAAACTGTCATGCGACTATCCGTACAAAACTAATTGAAAGGCGAATGATCTGACCTAAATTAGCATACCAAGTAGCATACTCCATTAGTGTGAATATATTATTAGTCGCCTGTGTTTGTAATGCCACTGAATATCTGGTTCTTAAAAGTCATTGATCGTAAATTGCATACAACGATAAAAATGTCTATATTGATGCGTAGTAATATAAGCGGTAATAGTAAGCTTAACTCTCGGTCAATCTTTAAGAAGGTAATCAACATTTGGTGATAACAGAGGATGCTAAAAAAGGCATTTGTGTCTTTCAACCATTTTCTTGTTTTTATATTAAAGCTCTCTCATCAATGCAAAGCAGGTTGCAGTGTCGGTTAGTGGAACAAAACCACTTATGGAAATGTACGAGCATTTAAAATAATCGCTGATACGTCAGTATGTTTGAACTGTCCACCTATATTATGATAATTTTGTACCCCGAGCGAAAGCAAGACCCCAACGCACCGCCAAACTCCTTTTGCAGGGGTATGGCGTCTGCTAACACCACCAAATAAGAGGAGTGGTGTACGATAATAATCACCCATACTCAGAGATTAATGGTGTATGTGTATATATGTGTGTAATTTCCCAAAATAAATCAATTTACAATTAATTGTGTGTTGATATTTTCCTTAATAAGTTGTAGATACGCTTTCGTTGTTCACAACTCACATTAAAGGAATGTATTAGTATTAAATTTCACACACACTACTAACAATAACCAATTATGGTTTTGCCACAATCACATACAGACAGAGTAAAGAATAAAGATCCTCATTCGATCATACTGCATGTCAATCCCAATGTTTAATATCCGATGCAGGTGGGATAGGGAAGAGAGATTTGTTTGTGGGGAATACTATTGCTATGGAAACCGGCTTCATTGTCTATGGTAATTAAGCAAAAAGAACTACGTGACCATGGTTTTTTGGTTCTACTTCCATTTTTAGACAGCTTATTGTTCCTGTAACTAAATGCGTAGATGATCTGCAACACTGATTACTACATTTTAGCTTAAACTCCGGGAGCGAAAAAAATACCGTCATGTCCATGAATAATAAGTCTCTGCTGCAGACTTTTCTAGCAAGTGAGGATTTTTTTGATGGAACAAATTCCGAATCAAGCGATGATGAACTGATCTCTCTCTCCTAGAGCTGATGTCCTCTGTAGTATGTGGTTGACATAATTGAATACGTCTATCTTTTCTTTTTTTTTTCATGCGTATTTTGTGCTCACTTTTTTGATGAGTGGGGTCAAATTTGGAAAAGGAGAAAGAAACCAAAGATGCTTATCTGATGCTTACTACAATTGTAATTGTCATCGACACCACAACAAAATGCTGAGTTTGTATTATTTGGAGGTCCTCGGAATACAACCGTTTATTAGTTAATGTTCACATGTTGAACTATAGTATTGATATTAAAGATAGGTTCAAATATCCCCAATAACGATACGATAACTATTAAATGATAGATGATAACAATAATAATGGTACAAATAACAAATGGTTATTATAAATTAATTACGTCTCGCATTTATCAGCATCTTCAATGTGACTTTCAACTGCGAAATGTGTCTTCAAATAATCTAATAATAAATACAACTGATTTAGTATGCACAATAATATATGAATTATGCGATCAAGTGTGACCCTTACTTTTATGCATATAGTAAACTTTTTCATATAACGCGTTTATACCCGCGCGATTAAGTGGAGTATTTTTATACTCTTTATACCAAGTTACTGCAGTGTTATTCCATACTGATTATGGCACAGTGATACCATTGATTGATGTTATTTAATCTATATATTGTTCTAGGAGGATAGCTATCCATTCTACATTATAGTGCTCAAGTCTCTTTACATATTTATCAATTGCATCAAATCCCTTGTTCTGCATAAATAGATGACTAATATGCTCAATATCTTGTTCAGCCTTTTTCCTACTCTCCAACCTACATGTGCTAGTAAACTTAAGTAGCAAGCATCATCACAATGTTTTGATACAAATAAAGTCAATTTACAATGTTAACACCGTCCATTTCTTATTTTGGTGACTCAAACACTTTTTTGAATGCACAAGTTTTTATGGATTATTTACAGTTATACGAGTTTTATTCATTTAACAAAGACATCCGTTCACAATTTTGCTTTGCTAATCGAAAGTTCGCCAAGTAAACTGTCCCCTATATAAAATAGATAAATCCGTTCTGGAGAGAGCTTCGACCTTTGTGTGAATTTCACAGTGTACATTGTGATAACTAAATAAACTTAAATTCTTAAACCAAATAATTGTTGAACTCGACAGCAAGTTTGGATATTGAGATAATCCGAAATTAAGCTTCGGTCCCATCGACTTCGATTAACGAGGTTACTATATACCACTTTGGTATTCTTCAAAAAAAAAAAAAAAAAAAAGCGCTTAGCGATAAACGATGTTACATAATTACCAAAAGGTTCGACAATATCAAAATATATTAAAATATTCAGTAGCCATCAGTACATGCAATAGCTAACAGGAAAGTTAATCACAGAAAGAGTGCGCAATTAACGCGCACTAAAACTTTGACCATAGATTTCACTGCAATAGAGTAAATAATTCAAGCGACAAATTCTTTACGTATAGGTTGCGTAGTGTTTTTAAATACAAAGCTCAGTTCACTGATTTTGCCCATTGCCTTCAAAATCATCTGTTCAAATTTGACTTTACACCAAATAGCTGTCTCAACCACAATACGACAAAAAGGATACGCATTTATTCTACAAGATTTTGTTGCAACCGATGACAGTAGACTATCTTCTTCTTAAAAAAAAAGATAAAAAATATACTTTATACAGATAGACTAATTCTTCAATTAATTGTGTTTAATTGGACATGTCTGTTGAGGGGTAGATTCACAAAATAGATATATGTCCATATCTTTGTTTGTAATAGTGATCTGTAAACGCTGAGCGCGATTTCCTAATTCGGAATTTGCCGTCTTTTGGGCTAGGCTTAACGGATCGACTTGTCTCAATGGGTTTAATACAACAAGCCGGAATAGTATCGATCGATGTCCCTTTTCGTTCAATTCAGTTACGTACGAGATGTTACTTGTTCAATTTGCAATTTTTTTGGCCATGCGAATCTTTCTGCCCGCCATAATGATGCTCTGTTAGATGAGAGAATATTATGCTATCAGAGAAATAAAAGACTATTAGTATTAATTTGATATACGTCTTTCACATACTGTACATTTTTGTATTGAGCAATTGTAACCTCGTTTGATGCAGCTCTTGTTGTATGTAAGTCTCGATGACTGTTTCTACAGTATAGCAAATTTTCATAAGTTATTTAGGTGACACGACAGCTATCTGTAGTGGAAAATTTTTTTAATTGGTCCATGAAAATATACGCTGTGGTGGGTAAAAGTACACGTTAGAATATTGCAGGTATCAATGAAGATATAGATGTTTGTAGCAACTAAATCTGTAAATTAATAAGCTGGCTGCAAGCACAGTTTATAATGCCGTGGCATACGAACACATAATATTGCATTGTATAATCTACTCGTGGAGATACGGTAAATGATAATTTAACTTTTTTTCCGTAATAATGTCCGCATATCGTTTGAATTAAGTACGTGTATTTCAGTGATACTGTATGTGATTGTATAAACTTGACTAGAAGAACAAGCAACATAATTTACAAATTGAAAATAGTGTGGAATAATACTAATACGTGTAGTTAAAAGAATCATAAAAATTGTACTATGAGCGGACAAATATAAAAGTGTCTTCATTATATGACCTTTTGCAAGAGGATTTTATAACTAAATTATGAATAACCAAAGCACAAGTTAGTCATTAGTGCTAAGGTTATTAATACTATTGCGCGTGCGAAGTTAGAACGCAGCATAACATTTATAAGGTCTTTATTGAGAACTGCTAAAAATTGCTTCTGGCATGAGATGTGTATCCATTGTAAAATGTGCCACCTTGAGACGCGACAAAATTGGTCGATCGGTTGTCGCAAAGGTAAAATTGGCACACTATTCTAAATTTTGAGTGGATTAATATTTACGAGATAATTTCAGTTTCAATCACGGCGAAACTGATTTAATACACTTCAAATTGAGTTGTAGTTTAACGCGTTAGAGTTTTTCCAGCCTCATTTATCCAAAGTTAATTGTTAACCGCTTGATAGAAGTCTGTGCAAATTGTTAGCACCCACCACTAATTCACAAAAATTGATTTAAATATCATTTATTAAACATGGCATACGGTTTACTATTCAACTAATTTATTGCTTAAGTTAAGAAGCATATTGTTATGAATGTAGCGAGAATTAAGTAAGAAATTGCATATATTATACAGTATATAGATGGGTAAATCATACAGATTGCAAGTGTTAAAATACCACTTTCAACTCACAACTTGATAATATAGAAAAAGCTCAAATTAAACTTTTGAAACTAGAAACACCTCCCAATTGACATATTCAAAATAACAATTTGATGAAGTTAGTACTGGAACTTTGCATGAATCTTTCCTAATACAAGGTCTTAACATGCCATTGCCAAAATGAAGATCAATTGCAAACTCCATTCTAAAAATAGAACAATGGCTCTCAACATTATCAACATAACTTACTATGTTTTTATCCAACATAAATACAAAGCTTTCTTTAGTACACTGATCATGGGAACCCCATGCAAATGAGTTATATCCACCAAGTATTTCTTCAGTATTCAATGCTTTCCCAACAATAATTGTAGGTCCTTTGTTATTACATAATTCTTTAAATTTTTCAACTGTAGTACCATCTCTGCTTTGTCTATAAAGTAGAGTAAATTCATAAACATCAGCTTGATTCATAGAGGTACCTTGATTCTCTTGAAGTTGTCTTGTTGATTCTATAATCTTTGAAGAGATCCATTTTGCTTGCTTTTTATCAATAATAAGTGAATCAATGTGACATCCTTGTTTATGTCTTCTTGGTGGCAACATGTGAGTGATTGGCCTATAATTTTTATTCATTTGATAATTGAGTAGATCACGACCCAATTTTCTTGGTAATAGATCATAGTATAAAGCAACCTTGTCAGGGGAAATACTGAAAAATCTTATATGAGGTATACAATCTGCTATGATGTCTTTGACTATGTTAATTTCATTAACTGACCAATCATCTGGATCATTTCCAAGTTCTAGTTCAGGCACTTGCTTGGTAGCCCATTGTACAACTGACATCCAAATATCATCTTCATCCATACTAAGATCATCATTCTTGAGAAGAGTAATCAGGCTCTCCTTTGGTAAGGTTGCAATATCATTTGATTTAAGGATAATATCTGGGTGGGAAATCACAAGTTGATTGCAATAGTCATGAAGTTTGTTCAAAGTAACTGTGGATGCAGCATACTTGTGAACTGTGATAATATTCTGTTGAATCCATTCCTCTTGCTCATCTATCAAACAAGTTTCAATTGTACCAAGAAGATCAAGTAGTTCAAGTTTGCTAGCTCCATCCAAAAGGCTGATCCAACCAATATTCTTGCATGAATCATAGGACATTTGCCCAGTGTAAATATACCTATAAATCCATAAGTTACAGTATTTATTAGTGTCAACCTCATGCATGTATTTATACAGAACCCTCTGACAATGTATTAACATACAACTCTACCTGAGCAATATTTCAAAAACGTCAGGTTTCACATCCTCAAAAGTTATGGCTGTCTTTTGAATCCCATCAGCCGTCTCCATTAATTTATCCTCAAGAAATGCACTTCTTGTGCATAGTATCAATGTATGGGCAAAAAATATTTTGCTATCTGGCTCCTTTCCAACATGGATTGAAATATCTGTATATTTGCCACTTTCATACAGTTTCTCATAGTCAACTGAAAGACCTGAGGACAAATCAACAAACTTGTTCATTTTTGTGCAAAGTTCAAAGATACGCAGAGACCGAAAAACGATGTATCGATCTCTGCGTAACACGGTCACGTAGTACTTGTAACCTGTTGCTTAGCTTTGATTCGCTGCTGTAATATTATCTGTCTTACGAGGTTTAACATAGACAATAGCCACTGTATCTTACCTTATCAAGTATAACCATGCAAACAGCACAAACAGATCTACCCCGTTAATAATCCACTTGCATCGTATATTAAACAGCACAATGTAATTGACACACGCTTATTCGATTATTCTTTACTCCTATACTACACTGTATATGACCAAAGTTCCATGCATACAAAAGCGCGAAATCATGATCTGGTTATTGCTAGTACGGTGCGGTGCGTGAAATTCTAATACATTCTACATAAAAAGGAACAACGAATGTATGTGCTTACAGCTCTTTTTGAGGAAAAAAATGGTTTAAAAAGACGAATAAATTAAGTTAACGCACACACGACGCAAGAAAACTTTAGCCCGTACAGATTACAAGTGTGTAGGATATCCAGCAAAGCGACGGCTATCTGAGAAGTTATCATTATCCGACAATCAATACCGTTGACCCATCAGTATCGCAATATCGTTCTATCTCAATAAAAAGCGTTCACAAAACAGTCAATATGACGTAGTCATTCTACTATAACCAGATCGTAACATCTACTTATTCTTAAGACTTGAAGAATGAACAAGACATCGCGAGAATCGTTTTTTTTCTTCCCAAATTCTTTTCTCCCGGCCATAATTGCCGTATCGTATTACATAGATACCGAACATCGCAAGACCTTGAGATAGCCGTACGAGACAATGGGTTAGCTATTCCTTCAAAAATAGTCTCCTTACATTTTTGTAATCTTTTCCACCAACTTTCAAAAGACTTATGACGTTCCTTTTGTGAGATACTGTAAACAAAGGCCTTCTGGATCAAGGTCACCTTCCAAGCAGCCTCTACCGTCATTGAAAGTTTTAACCAGCTGTCAAACTGTGCGTGTGCTTTACGTCTACAAGATTTCATTAATTCTGTATTAATTGTATTAAAATCTGTCGACGTCTTGCCATTCAACAAATATGTAGAATCGGTATTGGTTCTTGTAAAATTCAAGCCAGTGGTTTCGATGAACGAACAACCATCTATTCAAAACAAACCAAATTTGGTTTGTTTTAAAGATCAGAACTTGAGCTTTTATTTAGTTAGTATTACATTGTCATAGGTAATGAGAGGCATGTGGCAAAAACTTTTTGAACCACCCACGTAACAGTACACCCTAATTTGGGACAAAAGAGTAAATGTTTCCTGGCTATGTTATATATTAATAAGTAAATTTACTTTACAATGATAGTAATCGCAAAGCTGTTATTACAGTAGGGATGTTTGCGCCTTGATGCGAATAATAAGGTAAGTATTTAATTATCAATACAATATAACTAATGTTGTGAATATTAATTAATAAACGATTGTACATTAGGTAACAATACACATATTCCAAGTACCTCCAAATAAATACAAACTCAGCATTTTTTGTCTGAAGATAACATTGTTATTGTCATAGAGCATGCTATCAGTCGTGTAACAGTTTATTCATTCAACGACATATGCATACACTAACGCGTTAGTTGTTGATAGCGAGCGTACTCTATCATATCATACTACGCGTACGCGACACAATTGTTAAATTATAAATATATCACTATGAAAACGGGGTTGAATTATTGTGTTAGATAACGATCATTCAACGTACTTGACTTAGAACAATGATTACGTACTATTTAACGGGGCAATACGAATAAGCACCAGTCTGGTATCTATTTCCCAGTGAACATATCTGTCGTATATAAAATTGACGACAATCTCCTAAAAGTTTTTGCTTATCTCAATCAACCAATTTACTAACAACCATCATCTACAAGCATGTACGATGCAATATAGGACAGGTTCTGAGTACATTGGCTTACGGTTGATAACAATCAAATCGGTAAAGCAACTTTTGCTCTTTTCGTTCAGATTTTAAGTGGTCTTACAGTTAATGATGAGACACAGCAATATGATAAAGCAACGCTTAAGTCTGCTGTGATTCAGTTAATACCATATGTTCTTGACCTATTTCCGAATCTGACCCACTACGTGATGATCAACATACTCGATCACTTCATAACGTACAACAATAATATCAATAACACCCGTATTTATGAATAACATAATATAATAACAATTAGCTGATGCTTTATCAACCAGCAGTTATTTGTTAACGCGGCCGGTTGGTATTTGCTTAATATACACGCGCATCTACTGAATCATGATAATTACGATGTCAACATGTGCAAATACTACATGCAAAACCGGAATGTAACTGTAATGGTGTTTGAGCTTCAAACGTCTTTTTGTAGCCAGCGTTTATCAAATTTGAAGTTAAAATAATTACTAGACATGTTAGTATAGTATGTAAATTTTCGCTGATACCATAGCCAAGATGATTTTTTCCAAATAGAGTCATTCTAGCACTTTTTCTACTCTTGTCGTCTTGTCGTAATTGCCCATTGGACGTTTATGTAGAATTTGAAGTATGATTAGTACGCATGTTGGTTCACATTCTTAAGTGATGATACTGTATCTTGATGATTTGTGTGAGGGAGGGTTGAAGCTGAGCGCTGGGCGATTATGCTTGATATATTATTGATAAGTTGGGGAGGTTGACATAATTGAGTCAGGGAATTTTCAAAGCATTTATCTATTCCTGTCTCGAACTGGGAGCTTATGCTTGCCGCTGTATAGCTCGTAATCAGAATACTTCGTCTTGTAGAGTCTCTGTTCACTGATGAAAAGTCTACTGCATTTATAAATAATGTTACTAGATATTTTAGGATAAAAGTTAGCAAAGAGTAAGCCTGAGATATGAAGAATTGTTTGTTCGAGTAGTTAATTGTTGTAGATATCAGAACGTTTTTTAAAAAGACCCCAATCCAAATAAAGAGATTACAAAAGATCCTCTGAGGTTACGCACGCTATTATCCATATACGCAAAATGTGAACGTCCGGACTTGGAGGACAGTCCGAAAGTTTTTGCAATACGTACGTAATTAATCCACCAATAAGCAGTAGACTAATTTACAAGTTGTCATCGTAACCATTAATCACATGCATTATTATGAATACGTTTAATATGAAAAGCACAAATTACTGCTACAGTTCTTCACATAATTTTGTGAGCATCGTCCATCTAGTTTTTTTGTACCAGTTTCTATACATCAAATATGTTATTTACCAAGTTTACATGAAGTTGGCTATTGTATGTTCGATTAAACCGTGGCCGAATAACTAATAGCGTGAGCAATCATAAACTTGTTATTTAAGTGTAATTTAGAACAATTGCAATCACAGAGTTATAAAATATTTTTAATAGACATACAAAACCAAAGGGATAATAAATATATAAAATCTTATTCTAAACAATACAATTTGAAAATCTGGTAAATTAAATCTATCGGTATTAATTTTTCCCTTCTTTCATTACCACTTTAAGTGCTGAGGGGTATTACTATTATTGTCATTGTCGAAAAGTCTGTAGAGGCAAGGATAAAGGTTTAGTTCGTCCAGTAATTCTTTTATCACTAGGGGCTCCGTGAAGTCTTTGGAGATACTTCGCGACTTCATTATTTATTTTCTCTTGATCGATTTTCGACGTTGAGGTTTCGTCACCGGCTTTTAAATACCCGGTGACGAATCGGGTAATTTCATAAACCATTAAATCACGAGAAACTTCCTCATGATTTATAATGGATTTATAAAATAGGTACGCATTCACCGTATTCACAGAGCGGAGCACATTGTCTGACGAGAAGTTGTATTTGTACAACATCAGATCAAGTCGTACTAGTGCATTGTCTTGCACAAAGACATGGTAGTCGCGGAGTTGCGAGTCTCCTGCCTCCGAACGACCGATAAATGTTTTCACGGTTGTCAACACGGCCATTTTCAATGCTGCTCCTATATGTCCGCTGAACAAGCTGTCCAAAGTATTATTTATTTGCTTGCTTAACTCCTATGTGGGTCAAGAATAAAACTATTTAGTACGTAATGTCACATTGTTACAAAAAGCATGTGAAAAGAAAAACAACATTATAAACATTATAAATACATACATCAGAGTTAATCGAGGCATTAACATGAATATCCTGGACTCTATCCACCACCGTTTCAATACGAACCATATGGTTGTTGGAAGGAGGGTTTAAAAGTTCGTGCTCATGGCTTTTCATTCTTGAAACAATCATCGAATGGAGAAACTTTAGCGCCTCCTTGCTCTCCTTATCTGTGCTCTCGTCAAGCACTTGGGACAGTTTTGTCCCATGGCGATAAGAATGAGAATAAAAGGGAGTGAGCAAAGCTATATTACCCACTCTTTACGTATTTATAGTCTTACATAATTATCTGGTCTCAATACATATACATGTAGTAAACAATAAACCGTACGTACCTGCGGATTGCGTAATGTTTGGATTACATTAATAAACACTGTAGACAAAAAATAATGGGTTAATGGGTCAGGTAAATGATATCAATAGTGAATTAAATGATACTTGACTACTTTGTACATTTGGTGTACCGAACTAATCTGTTTATGGTAAAGATAACATTGTTCTTGATTTTACTCTTCGTTACCATTAAGGATAAATATTTTGGTATCTATATGCAATGGATTGCGGTGATGACCGGTATTTCTTTAATCTTGGCGTTTACGTACTGAGTTACTGAGTAAATATCATTATTATTGATCTTAATTTACTGCGCAGGCTACCTTTTTTTTTTTTTTGGAAAAGCTTATTAATATAGTTGGTACGTTTCTTGTATCTCTGAACCTATAGTTAGCTCTCTGGAAATCTTTACAACTTATCGGCATCGTGACATATTCCATAACAAATACTGCTATTTTGCTCTTAATCTATCTGAGCCCTACTTTATATTTTTATACATCACAAATTTCCGACATGTAAAACACACGGACCGTAATCAATCGTAACACAAATAAAAGTAGCACAAAACATGATCCTATCGAGATTTTGTGACAAAGAGGTATTAGTTGAGACTTGCACATCAGTATTTGTGAGTGAGTTTGCTACTGTAGAATATACGTACATCCAACACACAATAAAAAATGGTTTGAGTGACGAGGCGGATTGCTCCCAATATAAGCAAATCATTCATATGCGATTTTGGTCTCCAGCTCGTCGACCATTGTACCGAAAGTCTTCTATCGCAAAGTACAAAAAAATTGACATACTGTTTGGTGTTAGTAAACTGCCTTTTAGAAACGGGCAATTTGATAGAAATTTACGATGCAGTTTTATGGACGGGCTGCAACCGTCAATGCCTGATTCGGCACGGCAGAAACAACTGTTGAGATGAGTTGTGTTGTTGAACCTGACAAGCGTCCAGACACATGGCTACCTTGAGAGTATAATAGTAACAAGGTGGCGAAGGTAATTTTGACAACGTGGAATCCATTTATCATGAGACGTTTGCCACGTCTTGAGAAGGAGAGTAATATTCTAGTACGCTCTTGTCTAACGCAATAATTTCACGGTTGATTTTAACTGTTTTATGAAACAGTGACTAACTACAAGAAATAGTTGTAAAAACATGCATTATCCGAACAAATTATGGTTTATTATAAAAAGTGAAAATTTACATAACGAAAGAGCAATCCATATAGCAACTGTATTTCTAAAATAATCTAACATTTTGCTTCAATTTTGATATTGTTATCATGATCAAAAAGTTTGTAAATACTATGCAGCCTCTGGAGACACTGAGTGACCTCTTCATTAATTTTTTGTTCATTTAATTTTGAGTTCCTAGTTAAAGCGGTCCCCTTCATATAGTTTCTTACGAACCGCGTTATCTCATATATCATTAAATCACGAGAGACTTCTTCGTGATTTATTATGGATTTATAGAACAAGTATGCATTCACCGTATTCACCGAATGGAGTACATTTTCCGAGGTAAAGTTGTACTTGTATAACATCACGTCCAGCCGGACCAACGCATTCTCTTGTAAATAGATGTGGTAGTCACGAAAAGTTAGCTCTCCAGCCTCGGAACGGCCGAGAAATGTTTTCACAGTTGTCGACAAGGCCATTTTCAGTGCTGTCGCAGTGTCTCCAGAGAACAAACTATCCAAAGTTTTATTTATTTCGTCGCTTAACTTCTATGTGGGTTAATAAAACTATTTAGTGTGTATAATGTCACCTTAATTGAGGAACGTTAAAAAATAACATTAGATACTTACATCAGAATTCGTCGAGGCATTGATGTGGATATCCTCGACTTTATCCACCACCGTTCCAATACGAACCATATGAGAGTTTGAAGGCGGGTTTAAGAGTTCGTGCTCAAAGCTCTTCAATTTTGAAACGATCATTTTACAGAGAAACTTTAGTCCCTCTTTTTGTTTATCCGTACTCTCGTTGACAACCTGTGATAGCTTCTGTCCCATTCTTTTCTGTGTTTTTGTGTTTAATTTGATCTCTTTTTTCAAGTTTTTTTGCACTTGAATATTATCTACGAAAAAAAATTTTTGCTTGCGTTGAAGGAGGATTTATAACCCGTTTTTTTGTTGATAATTAGTTGTACCGGACAAAGCCTCCGGCAAGGCATTTAATAGTGTTTCAACACAATACCAAAAATTTAAAATGCAATACAATAATAAATCGGAGCCTTAAGCCGGCTTTCATGCATAATGCGTTCATATAAGATAAGATAAGTCATGCAAATCAATCAATCGCCATAGTGTACACTGTTCGTTTCATGTAACTCAAACAAATAAACGCCAACACTGTGATAGCTAAAGGTTCAGTATGCTGTATGGTTGACATTATACCAAAGTAAATTGTAACTTTTGGCTCTTGTCGATGATACTAGCAAACATTTAATAATGCTTGAGTTGCGCTATACGCTCAATATGCTGCTCTATGCGCTCCTAATAGACGAAGTATTCCCCCACCGTATTAGTCAGTAATATATTGTGGCATCTAGATTTCTGATAGAGATTATGGTACGGTGATAGCCGACAATTATTATATTTGTTTGTTACTGCGGAGAACTACTTTTTGTAGGAGAAAATTATTCATCTTCGTTTGATGATTTTACAAATAAGTAGTAATGATTCAAATTGGGTAAAATTGCGCGAACACTTTTATCAAATACTTCTTCTGACCGTACCTTAGATTAGATTTTCTTTCCGGATGTTCAATCTATTTAACATTTTTCACAACTTGTTGATATCTTTTGTTTCTGTAATATTATTTCAAACAGAATATTATCATTCAGCCCCCTAAACTTATCTTTTATCTTGACGAAAGAGAGTTGGGACTTTTACTATGCCATTATCATACAATTCCAGAACCCATTTCGTTTTGAAAACAAACTCACTTTACGACCCTTTTTTGTTAAAGCCTGGTTGTTTTGACCATCATACGATTTCAAAACTCAATTATCCAGGTCAAGCAATCACAAATAATCGAACGATTGACTTTGCGCTAGCATCATATGATTACCATATAGCTAACCTGAAGACCGATGGCTAAGGCAAATTAGGATCTGAAATAAGGCAAGTTGGGAAAAAAAATAGGGTGGGGTGGAAACATAAATAAAACCAATGCCACACGTCAAACAATGAGTATCAACTTTGAATTTACATACAAATAGAAATACAATTAATTTATTAATCATTTAGAGAGATAATGTAATCTGCTCTATACATCAGGGTCGGGGGCTACTGCTCGAACAACACGCTGGCTACAAAAAGGCATTTGAAGAACTCACAGTTACATTTCTAGAAAATTAGTTATATTGCACGTAGTATTTGGAGTCCTGTCTCAGTTCCGGACCGAGACAACTGAGTTCTGGACTGAGTGTCTTGGTTCGCAACTGAGACAGGTCCCAAACTCAGACACAACACACACATGTTGACGCAACATCCATCGCAATTTTATAATTCAGGAATATTAGACGTTATGTCAGAGATTGAATAATCAATGTGTCTTCAAATAACTGCTGGTTGATAAGTTGTATTATGTGTTATTCAACAATTCTGATGTGGGTCATATTCGGAAATGGGGGTCAGAACATATACATATCATTTAGTCTATTACCATATTATAATAGACTTTTTGATTGCCTGTGAATTTAGCTCGCTCGAATATCAACACCAAGTGTTTACTTTGAGATATATCAGATTCATATGCAATTTGGCCATAAATTCAAAAATTTATATCTCAAACACTTTCTAACCATGATATAATTTTGAACAAGTTGTGCCGCTACCAAATGTATGGCATAATGATGCTGATTGGATTTTATTGTCAAGTATATATCACAACACATTTAGTACGCATAAAAAGAGATTACGCAAATCTATTAGAAAAGCTAGAGACAAATACAAAATGTTTGCTGGAGATATCCGTCTGGGCTAAATTTTACAGGTAGTCAGCATTTGTCATTTATTTATTTTTTCCTAAATTAGGGATGTACGGTTACTTCTTAAATAATAGGAGACAGAAGTCAACGAGGACGTTTATAATTGTCGTAAAATATATAAACATTGATTCGTAAATAGAACCATCAACTGAAAAAATACAATATACAATAATATAGACACTAAATATGGCGGCGGTTGTATTGTTATTTATTGACCGAATGACATATAATTTACTTACCCTAACTTATACCCGAAAAAAAAAAAGCTAGCTACTATGTAAAGTAACTTAAGATTTGACACATTTTGTAAAAATGATCGATTATAAATATCGATAGAATAATTCAATACTTGTCCATAGCATAGAATTATTGTTAGTGGCAGTCATAATTACTGTTGTCTGGTAAATAACCCCCCGTCTTAAATAAACCACAATCTATAGGCTCTTTATTGAAAAAATAGAGAGGATTAGTGTCCACAGATCGATAAGTATCGTGAGTAGTAAAGATCACTAGCTAGTCGTTATATATAATAAGAGTAGGAAATGTGCCACAAGCTCGAATCGAACTTGTTAAATCCTAAAGATCAATTGTTATTTGCTCTCTCGTGACAGTTAAATCGATAGAAGTCATCATTGATGCTGATGTCATCTAACCAGAATCAGTACATCTTACTACTATTATTCGGATTTGAACAAGAATACTAAAATAGGTATAACAACCAAAAAATCTTCATCTTCGTTTTCCGAAACGTGGTAATGGCAATTAACATTCATTAATCTTATTTATTCATTAACTTAAACTGTGGAGGTATGCTTCTTTGACAGAATTAACTTCATCTTTTGCAGTCTGGCATAGTCATCATTTGGTTCAATCTCCAATGATTTGTTGAGGTCATCAGATGCACTATCATAACGTTCTATACTTATATAGACAGCCCCCCTTCTACTCAACGTATATGCATCATTTGGTTCAATCTCCAATGATTTGTTAAAGTCATTTAATGCATTATCATATTGTTTTATAATCATATAGACAGTCCCTCTTCTACTCAATGCATATGCATTATTTCGTTCGATTTCCAAGGATCTGTTGAGATCATTTAATGCCTTGTCATATTGTTCTATATTCAAATAGACAGTACCCCTTCTACTCAATGCATATGCATCATTTGGATCAACTTCCAATGATTTGTTAAGATCACTGAATGCGTTATCATACTGCTCTATATTCAAATAGATATCTCCCCTCCTACTCAATGCGTATGCATTATTTGGATCAACCTCCAACGATTTGTTGTAGTCATTTAATGCATGTAATACACTACAGTGCTTCAGTCTCTTATAAACGCTTTCACAAAACGGTCGCTTGCCAGGGTCTTCATCCCAACATTCTGAATACAGTTTAACATATTCTTCAGGCGCTCCAGAAACCGGTGGATCGCGGGAACCATTAGCTCTATAGTTGATAATAGCAACACTTTCTGTGCGCCCTTCGCATGGAACTTTTCCGCTGGAAATTTCCCAAAGTATTACTCCAAGACTGAAGACATCAGATTCCTTCCCGCGACAAAATGACTCGTCTTTAAATGTTTGTGGATCTTTGTATGTTGGTGCGCCACAACCACGTGATTTGGACATTTGCTTCAAGAAGCTAGATAAACCAAAATCGCTTATCTTTACAATACCCGATTGAATAAGAATATTACGAGAAGACTAGATACAAACAAAAACATGTGAATAAATGTAAATCATTAATTTGCATCATCTAAATCTAGAAATCTTTGTGATAAATACCAAATCTTTGTGAATGATATCAAGTCCATGAAGATATCTTAATCCATTGACAATTCCGAGTCCCAATCCGTATTTGTCGTTCCAAGTTAAATTATTGAAATGGTGCTGTAAGTGTTGACGTAAAGTTCCACCATCAGCTAGTTCAAAAATCATATGATACCTATCATGTGCTGTGTTGGAAGTAGGATGAGTAGTTAGTAATTAATCATGTCAAATCAAGCATATTGTTATTTATAACATACATCTATATAAACCTAGAAACCGAATAATGTTGGGATGATTCTTCACCAGATTGTTGTTTTTTAGCTAATGTGTAATATAGTAACATCAGTCAATCACAAACATGAATGCGGCACGCTAACTGACAGTACTAACACAACCTCTTTGACAAAGTCTCGATACAAATCTTCCTGACAACTCTCATGCTCATCAGTGAACAAAGTCTTCACAGCAACAGTCATACCAGAGAGAACGTTGTGTTTTCTGCCCAAGATTTTCCTGATAATGACATTTGCCTTCGTTATCGTTGCCTTACGTACCACTCCAAATGCCCCACTACCAATGTGTTGAGAATCTAACTTTATGTCACGTTCTGGACAGCAATAGATTGAACCTTCTCGAATGCTAGTCTCTAGCCATTCTTTGTACATATTGTTGGATGTTTGAGACATTACCGACTGTAAATGTTTGATACACTACAAAAAGCGGATAACAGGACACGTGACATAAACGTAAATGTGTAACGAATGATTAATATAATAGACTCTACTTTGCCTGATGGGATTGTTTCTTTATCTATCGCTATGCCAAATGCAGATAACTTTTGGAACAGCGGTAGCTATGACTTTTGATTACGTCTTCTTTGATAGAAAAAGCTTTAGAATGTTGCGAAATTGAGCATTAATATATTACCATTGATGATAATTATTTGTATAATAACGAACTTTTATTTAGCTAATTGACAGACAATATGTTCTAATCGCAATCTGACCCAATTCGAAATAGACACATTTGCCTAAATATCACACCAATAAGCAAGATTGTTTACGTGATATTATCGCCGGCTCGGCGAATTGATAATCAATTGCGAGGCCGTCCAGAAATAAAAACCTCGACACCTCTCATTTACCCCTTAATTTTGCGTGTTTATTTCGAACTGGGTCGGCAAATAGGAGTACAAGCAGCAAAATTATTAGAGGGGACCGAATTGAGTGGCAGCTATTTGTTAATTCCGTCCCGTTATACTTAATCATTGTGCTGACCAAGGAAATTTGACTAGCGTAATATTTCCTGAATGCTTTTTGTCGTAAGATGAATGTCGGTGAAAGTGTTAAGAACCATGCTTTATCGGCATTTCACGAAGCGCTTTCAATTTCTCCGATTTACACCTAATGGCAGCAGCTACAAAGTAGCTTGCCCTTCAGATACAAATAATTCAACAAATACTCAGTGAAACTTACCTCGTCCTCCAAGTTTGTATCTTGAACGTTAGCAAATCTAAAATGTTGAAACGTAGATGATAGATTGATAAAGATTAGTACTTCTGTACTTACACAGTTACGTCATGTGATCTCTCAAAATTCTTATTCGTTCGATCACGTAAGTTATAACTAAATTTTTACCTCCGAACTTGCTTTTTCAAACAATTTCGCGTTTGCAATAAAATAAGCATTCGGTTTAAAAGGATCTGTTGACAAAGTCTTACCCGGCAAAATATAATAGTATCTTCCCATAATGTGCATAGTTTTTTCCGTTGCAACTAGACGCTGACATGGAGTTTTGCGTTCTTTTATTGTCTACACCTACGATTGAACGCTAAAGGTGTACCTAGACGCTGACATGGCTATCCTAATATTAATGGAGTTCTATTCATAAGCAACATTTTTAATAATTATCACTCCACTTTGTTTATCACAGAAACCGTTTTCGAGAGACGAGGGAAAGAAGATTCCGTGAGTAATATATAGCCAAGAGGGAGAGCGAAATCTGAAACTATTTTGTTAGCATGCCACTAACTTTCCTTTATATATTATACACTTGAAAAACGACTTACTACGGTTACATTTTGTTGTATCTATATAAATCGCAGTCTTTATATTATATCCATAATGATTTTCTGCGAGCCAACAATCCGATGCAAATCAAAGAAAAAAATCACCGGAGCGAGCATTCCTTGTTAGTTCTTCTGTTAGACAACCAATAAGTCATCCTACTTTTTAACTGGAAGAAAATGGATAGATCTGATGTTGATTAATCTTACAAATGAAGACTATCTGGACTATAAATTATTGACTACAGAACCGGTTCTGTTTATACAAATAATTATAGTCACTTCTTTTAGTTGGAAAAAAAAGTGCAAAAAGTAAGTCCTCATCTAGAACTATCAATTGTTTTTGAATTAGTTGAACTACCGTCTCCATAAGAACCGGTCTGTTCAACGTTTGACATTCAAAAATAATTCATGGATTACTAAGATACCCGACCTCTACATGGTGACGCTAACAGGGTATCAAGTTTAATCCGATTGTTATTTAAACACAGTAATTTGTTTATTACATGAATGCAATTTGATGGTGCAGAGGAACAAAATAAAATTTGGTAGAGAAATGTTGAGGAATTTTTGAACTCTTACGACTTGAAACCCCGAAATATGTCATGGTAAAAACTTTTGGTGCTTAGAATTTTGCTGAAAATTTTCAAAAAATCTTCCAAATACGATATTTACATTTGTGAATAACCAATAAGTTTTATTGAATACATGTTAATATAAATAATATAAAATATGAAACAATTAAATTGAATTACGTCGATATATCTTGTTTTTTCTAATTTCATCGTTTCCTAATTTGTTACACATTTTCCACTACGATTACTTTCATTTCTATAATAAATAAGTGTTTCATCATTTTCTGCTTGTAATTCGTTAATATTTTAGGTAGTTATTTCTTATAATTAAGGAGTATTTTATTTAATCGTTAATCGTCCTGGTTATGACGCTAACTGAAAAGTGGGTTGTAAATTATTTACGCTTAACATTATTGAAAGATTACATGTTCTTCTTATTATCTGAAAATATTAGAACCAGCTCTAATAGAAACTTCAACGCGTAGTTTTAAGAAACTATTAGCGATATTCGAATTAACTTTAATTATATAATCTCAGTATTTTGGGATGCGACTCGCCGCCCAAATATTGTATTTGGGTAATTGTGAACATTTTTTTTTTCATTATCTGAAAATATTAGAACCAACTCTGTTGAAGAAACACTAATTTTACATATTTACAATGTAAATATGACATATCGTAACATCAATATTATACCCTATACAGGCATGATACTTGGCCTCCACGTGATGTGGCTTGGGTAATGCTAACAAAATATCAAACTAAATAAAATTATGATTACTTTAAATTATTAAATTCTTATAAATATATTAACTCTAAACTCACTCCTTTTTGAAGGAAATAGTTCCAAAGCAATCGGTATAGTTAATTCAGATTTTACTTGATATTCTGTGTCAAATTTTTGCACACACATTGACAACAGTCGTCATTAACAGGCACGTGAATCTCATAAACATTAGATTCTTGGTTGTTGAGTTGTTTGTGATTAACGATGAAATTGATTCGCGTCCTCGAAGCTGCTATGCATATTCAAATCGGACATAATAGTCTGGGTCAATTTATTGCACACACGTTGGAAACAGTCGTCATTAACAAGTACGTGAACTTCATGAGTATTGGATTCTTGGTTGTTGCCTTAGTGCTGATTGACGACGAAAATTGATTTCACGTCTTCGAATAATCAAGCTAAGCGGTATATCCAAATTCAAATCGTACATAATATTCTGGGTCAAGTCATTGCGCACACGTTGGCAACAGTTACACTACACTTACTAAACATATAAGCTTTATGAGCATTAGATTCTTGGTTGTTGTGTTAGTGCTGATTGACGACGAAGTTGATTTCGCATCTTCGAATAATCAAGCCAAGCGGTATATCCAAATTCAAATTGTGCATAATATTCTGGGTCTATTCATTGCACACACGTTAGCAACAGTTACGCTTACCAAACATATAAGCATTGGATTCTTGGTTGTTGTCTTAATACTGATTGATGACTGACGAAACTTGATTTTTCGCGCTCGAGATCACATATTATATACGGTATATACCATTACGTCCCAATTTCTCAATACACTATCATATTGTGAAAGTAATAATGAAAGAGGTTAGTCAGAAGCACATTTCTTCATGACTCTTCATGACTCTTATGACTAGTAATGTAATGCAACTTGTACTCGCAAGATACTGTAATGGAAAACTTACAATGGTAATGTAACTGTTATATATTACTAACAGCCAAGACAGTTGGTATTTACGTAAACTTATAGTAGCAAGTTGTAGTTCAAAGCATACAAGGGAAACTTTAGTGCCCTGCTATAGTTTTGCTTCGTTTGGCTAGCTCTACAGACTGTAAAAGAATCTCTAACAACGCTCCCAAAAGACGGACACTTACAAAGATGTTTGAAGCTCCTGTGTATACCTTATTCTGTACGTTTGTCTTTATGGGTGAAAAGCTAGTTGCTAGTTGCCTGAACGTTCGTATTATGTTTTAGTATACAGATTAGTGAGCTTAGTCGCAAATCGTACCTTTATATAATACCTACAGCGCACTTTCTCTCATGTTTGATATTTGTTATATTATGGATAAGCTATACGTGTATAGACGTCACCATGACTAGATTCGCTCAGCAAGCTATTTGAAGGGTGCTCTAAAGACTATCTAATTGTTTTTATCGGACTTAAATAAGATCTTGCTGGTAATTCATTAGCCGTTTCTTAATGCTTCATGTTAGACAACGATAGTTTATTAAGATTTTCTAACTCATCACTCCTTTTCAAAAGCACTTCATATGCCACATCCTGACAAGGATACCCGACCCCATAATCGGAAAACCTTTTTCAAATGAAGCATGAGCTAGCCATCCGTTACTGTCATTAGAGTGTTAAATCTTAAAATATCATTTAGTATGTCGTCTAACAAAAAACTCTTTAACAGTGATCTACTCTCATATAGAGAGTACTTCTTTAGAGTCGAATAATGCAGATAATTCAGGAAAATACACGATCTTTTTTCTACTGCTTGCACTAGCTTTAATCCTCTTTGGTTGGTCTCATATCGTACTAACATAAAGCTTCCAGCTTCTAATATAGTAAAAAGATTAAACTCAATTTAAGAGAGAACCGGCTTTGTAATTTTCAAACTACATACTCATAAAAGTGTGTTTCTGTCGTTAGTTTCTATTCTTATTTGCAGTATTAGTCGCCATCACATTCTCTAAGTGAACGCCAATCAGAATTCGAGTACGATTGATTGCAGGAATTTCATTCGTGAAAAACGAGCAGAAATTATAATAAACCCCTTTTTCAATAACTTCTTCGACGACTCAGATTGCCCGATTAATTATTAATACATATTGTACTATTTACTATGTATGTAAATTACAGCAATTTCATATTTGCAACGTAGATACTGAACGTCTTTGATCGGCAATGTAGCTAGATGCAAAACACTTCAGTGCAACATAGCACTCCCCTTTTTGCTATCGAACGTTACAGATTTTGATGGTAGCAGCACATTCGTCAAAAATACTATTAACATGTCACACAATGCATTTTATTATTACACAGTGAATTTTAGCCAATAGTAATAGGGGGAGCAAACATAAGAATCGTCGGAATTGACCGACCGTCAAGTGCTAGTACTAGTGAGTGTGCACAATGGCATATGAGGTATAGAAAAGCAAAGCATCTGTTAAGATACTCCATTAAGTTGTACTTATTGAAATGTTAAGATACTCCATTTGCTTAGTTCCTAACCACATTATGTATTACTTTATAGGAGCCTAAAAGCCCAATTCCCTTTACAGCTGACTCAGTGAGTTCTAACTTAACAACTAGCCATGTATCAGACAACTTTCTCGCAACAAGTACTCCTACTGCTTCCTCTATGACATCTTCTACATCAATACCAAGTAACACCATAAATCAAGACAGTTTTCCTAAAATTATACTTCAATTAATGGAACAAGGACTTATGTCAGCAGATGAGCAAATAGAGGAATTGTTAACAGGCTTGAAATATTCTGAAAATATTTATGCACTCAAGTACATTCTTGAACATAAAGGAGATTCTGTGTCAGTAGAGATGTTAAATACAGCTTTGAAGAGTTTATATTCTCAAGAGTTGGATGATGTGTTTTCAGGAGAAACAATTATTAAATTGGAATGGCAATTACGAATTATTGTAACTATACTGGAGCTGATGTGTCAAAATAATTGTCAACTTACACAGCCTTTTATCGATGGTATTGGACATGGCATTTCAAAATACAAGACAGTTATGCAGCATGGAGAAGAAACTTGGAAATCCAATTTTGCAGGATTTAATGAATTGAGTGAAACTATTAAAAGTTTCCAATTCAATTACAATGGCAGATACCTTCTAAAACTCATTGAGAATAACATTGTTTCTAATGATAAAAACCAGTATCAGACAAATATTGATCAGGCCATTGCAGCACTAAAGACTTTACTTGTTCCTGGACTAGCTAAAGCTGGGATTGAATTATTTACAGAAGTTGAAGTTTCTGTTGGTGATTTTGACATAGAAAAATCCTGGGAGTGTTTTAAGGAAGCTTGTCATGTTGAACCATCAGACAACCCATGGTATGCAACCTGGAGACAGCTTATGATATTACAAGATAGTCTTGACAAATGGTGTCAACAAAAAGAGTCTAACATTTCAGTGAGCTTTAAAGAAAAAATGCTTCTTGAATATCTCTGGTATCATATCAGTTTATGCTATGCTGAAAATTCAGCAGAGAATCAGGATGTCAGTGATGAACCCTTACTCTGGTTTGGCATTTTAGATATTATCCAGCAACTTGTCCAGAAAACATTTTCTACAACCACACAAGCTATATGTTATTATATTGCATTAGACTCATTGGACAATTCAACCACAGAATTTATTCAATTTAAATCAATTGAAGTGTTATTGAGTCTTGAAGCCAATAATAGTGAATTGTTTGTTACAACACCTGATGATATTGCTGGTTGTGATGAGAAATACATACCAAGATTGGTCAGCTTGTACTATTACTTGAAAGAGAAATTAGAAGTTGAATCCAAAATGATTTTAAAATACTCGCCAGATGAAATAATGACAAAATCTTGGAGTAGAAAACAGCAAGGGAGAGGGAAAGAAAAAGATGTTGAGAGAAATGCAATTGACTACATTGCAGAAGATCTAACATGCACTATTGTTTGTGAAGCAGTTGGTGACTTTTATCAGCTTAATTGTCAACATATTATTAGCTCAAAGGCTTTTTTTTCATTAGATGACCCAGAGTGCCCTTATTGCAGAAGTGAAATTAGGAAGGATGAAGTGTATTATTTGCCACAACAGACAATATACAGTAATGTTCAACATTATATTACTGATACTGATAATCAAGACATTCATACTGCTAATGCTAAAAGTAATGCAGTAGCAGATGCCAAAACAATTAATGAGTCTGATAATCAAGACAAACATACTGCTAATGCTAAAAGCAATACAGATCCCCCGCCTCCCCCTGCAAAAATATTCAAAGTGACTGGTAATCTTAAAAAACAAAAGAGAAGGAACAGAGAGAGAAAGTATAGATTAACCTGGAGTTTAATTTGGAAAAAATTAAAAGCACCAAATATAGTTAAATTGTTGCAAAAAGCTAAAACTGCATATCAAAATGGTAAGTTAGAGAAGGCTTTGAACATCTATTCAAAAATATTACAAGCTGATCCCATGAATTATCAAGCACTATGTAATAGAGCAAAGATCAAATTAGATATGGGAAATTTTGCAAAAGCCCTGTTTGATATTGAGACAGCAATTGTAATTGATGGGAATGATTGTTATGATGATGCTTGGTATTTAAGTTTAATGGCACATTTAGGTTTGGGAAATAAGAAAGAGGTTGAAAATGATATCAGACATATTAAGCATCTTCATCTGTATATACAAAGGAAGATATTTGGTATAATTGATGAATTTCTATGCAAATTTGAGTATTTTGATGTGGAATGGTTTAAAATTCTTGTGGATAGTTGCCCTCATTTAGCATTTAAAAAATTTAATAACATTTATCAATGGAAATCATTGTGTAACTATCAGTATGGAACAGATGATTACACCAGATGGTACAATACTGCTATATCTTGGTATAGCAAGTATAACAATACTCAACATAATTACAAGTATATAAATGCATTTTTCGAAAAAGTTTACTATATGCATAAAAGTAAGGGGTTGCACTTGATTGCATAATTTATATTCTATGTATACTAAATTATTTTATATTATTAGAGTATCTGAAAGCATGCTTTGAATTTGAAAGTCACATTGGAGAGGATTCTGGAGATGTCTTTAGCCTGTAAGTAACTTTGACACTGTAACTATTTGTTTATAATAAACTTTTACTAATGTCTATCATTTAATAGTCATGAGGGATATTTGTGCTTTCATGGAAAGATTAATGTATGTTTTTTATTATTAATACAATAGTTTAACATTCATATAATACTGATATCAATTAATAAGCACTTACATATTAGATAATAATACCCATATTCCAAGTACCTCCAAACAAATACAAACTCAGCATTTTATTGGAAAATTATTTGACATCAACAATAACAATTGCAGTAAGTATCAGTTAATTATTTTGATTCAGCCTTAATCCATATAATTATAATAATGTAAAATTTAATTTTGTAGACAACAATAAAAACATTAACTGAAGAAATACAGTATAAAACAGATATTGAAGTTTACAGCCACCATGCCGAATACATGTTGCCATGTGCAATTAACATTTTGTCTGAAGATGACATTGTTATAGAATTTGATATCAGTACTAGTGTAAGTATAATTATTCAGTCATTGACTCAGTATAAATGTATTCACCTATTCTAACTTTAATTTATTTAAGTCACTTGTATATCTTTATTGGGTTTGTCTATATTCAGAAGAGAAGTTAGATGCTATGGAATGTAACTTGAAATTTGAAACATTTCCAACTGGTGTAAAGATGATTGATTATAGGCAATATCGTTGTCCTACTACTAAAGGGCATTCCATATTAATATATGATTTATAGCGAATTTTATTGCTAAGCAAGCATTATTCTATTATATTATATTTACTATCACGCATTGATTAAATTATTCAATTATGTCTTCTAGTCAACACTTTCCAAGTCATCATTGGAACGGAATTTTTAACTTTATGCAAGTCCAGCATAATAACAATAAAATTTTTTACTTCAATTTGTAGCTTAATATTTCAAAAATATGAGTGTAGATTTTTGAAGCTCTAGCTTTTGGAATTGTCGTGCCAACTATCACGGAATAATCGACACTAGGAATTTAGCTAGTTTCGGGCCAGAGCGTCCCCTTCTCTAGGTAAATCTCGGGTTAGTGATGTCGGACTAGCTTACACCTGGGAGAGCGGCGGTGTACTAGCCGTTTTGGGATTTAGTTTGTTTCCAACGGAAGCTCTTGCTCTTCCTACTTAAAACTAAATACGTACAATTAGTGACCTTTAAACTCAGGCTTTCA